GCCACCTTTTCAGGCTTTCTCATCCTTCCCTGGTATTCTGCCTACACCGCCTCAAGCATTCACTGCTCAGAATTTCGCCCACTCCACAACCAACAGCCGTGGTGTGGATCGAACTTCAAGGAATTACTCTTCCAATCGAGGCAACTTTCGTTCAAACAACACTAACAATCAGCGGCAATTTTCGTATCGCCCAAATCAGAGGCCAACCTATCATAATAATCGTGGAGGTCGTCACAACTTTCAATTTTCTAGCAAGAAAGTTCCTTGTCAAATCTGTCGCCAATTTGATCATGAAGCTTGGGACTGTCCTCATCGCATGAATGCACATTATGGTGTGAAATCCTCTCCCTCTGCAATGGTGGCGAACACTTCTACTTCTGCTCCTACTTGGATTGTAGACTCAGGGGCTACATCTCACATGACCAATTCTTATGGCAATCTTCAGAATCCAGAACCATATACCGGACCTGAACAAGTTTATATTGGCGATGGAAAAGGTTTATCCATATCTCATTCTGGCTCTTCTCTTTTGCCTACTGCACATCATAATTTTCGATTACAAAATGTGCTTCATGTTCCTGAACTTAAGCACAATCTACTTTCTGCAAACAAATTTTTAATTGACAACTGGTGCTCAATGCATCTTTATCCTTTTCACTTCACTGTGAAGGATCTTTCTTCGGGGAGGACGCTTTTTAAAGGTCCTGTCAACGACGGTTTCTATCCTTTTCATCCTGCTTCATCCCATGCTGTGCATCCCAAGGCTTTGACTGCAACTGTTAAAGCTTCAAATACTATGTGGCATCAACGGTTGGGCCACCCCTCTGTGAAGATTTTGCATAAATTGGCTGCACATTCTTGTATCTCCATTTCAAATAGTAGAAATAAGTATTTTTGCTCAGATTGTGCATTAGGCAAGTGTTCTAGACTTCCTTTTGTATGTACTCCTTGCACTACAAGTAAACCTCTAGAACTTGTTCACACAGATGTTTGGGGGCCAGCACCTGTGTCTTCTCTTCATGGTTCTCGATACTATGTACTGTTTGTGGATGATTACACCAAGTACACTTGGTTTTTCCCTTTGAAATACAAATCTGAGGTATTCTCTGTGTTTGTTCAATTCAAGAATCTTGTTGAAAACTTTCTGTGTACTAAACTCATTGCTCTAAGATCTTATGCTGGAGGTGAATTCATGAGTACTTCTTTCTCTCAGTTTTTAGTGGATAATGGCATTCAACATCAACTTAGTTGTCCTCATACACCTGAGCAGAATGGGTGTGCCGAAAGGAAACATAGACATTTGGTTGAAACTGCAAGGACTTTGTTGGCAGCTTCTAATGTACCTCATTTCTATTGGGTTGATGCCTTTGCAACTGCAATTTATCTCATCAATCGATTACCTACAGCATACAAATCTTCACCTTGGGAGTTGTTATTTCACAAAGTTCCAAATTACAGTACTCTTCGAGTGTTTGGATGTGCTTGCTTCCTTTGGTTACAACCCTATTCTCCTTCAAAGCTACATCCAAAGAGCAAGTTATGTGTTTTCTTCGGTTATAGTCTACATCATAAGGAAATCTAAATGGATGAACTCAGTTTCCAAGAGAATCACATATCTCGGCATGTTCTCTTTGAGAAACTTTCCCTGTCCATTTTCACCTCCATCTTTTCCAGCACATCCCCATCCTCTCTCACTTTTACCACTTCCATTTCCTCTCCTTATCATCCCCTATTCTACCCTCTTCCTCCACCCTCATCCTCTCACCCTCTGCCTATCCCGATTTCTCAGCAACCTTCCCTTCTCTCCACAGAGTTACAAGTTTCCTCCCCTCCTAATCAAACTTACCCTTACCTTCCCTTCCTTCCTTCATCCTTCATCTAATCATCACCAAATGCAAACACGATCCAAATCTGGAATATTCAAACCCAGGGCATTCACAGTCACAAAGCATCCAATTTCAACCCATGCCCTCCTCTGATATCCTCATACTAGCATCTAAACTGCAAGCATCCACTAATCCTCACACTTGGCGCAAAGCAATGCAAGACGAGTATTATAATGCTCTTCTCAAGCACAGGTACATGGTCTTTAGTCCCTTTCTAAAATTCATATCTCAAAAAATACAAAATTCTTGGCTTGCTTGTACAAGTGGTTTCAGAATCAAGAAGGAATCTGATGGCTTCTATTGGGATAGATACAAGGCCCGATAAAGGATAGAAGGCTTGTTTTCAAATGGCCAAAAGTCCTCTCCAATGGTTTGCTTTCATCGTGGTCTTTACAATGTTAGTGCTCTGGTTTTACAGTTTTTGGGTTTACCAATTCATGGTTCCCAAAATGATCATTCTGGTTCAAAATCCAAGGATCCCCTTTGGTCTTCCCTTCCTTTCTAAAAAATGACATTTTGAGTCTTGGACCTCTTCTACAGCATGTCTAACAGTGAATCACGAAATTGAGCAGTTTGTTCCCTGTTAAAGACCTTGGTCCGTTGCATTATTTCTTCATTAGGCATTGAAGTTCAATCTTCTGGGATCTTCTCTAATCTTTCAATCAAAATACATTCTTGATCTTCTGCACAAGTCTCATATGGATGGAGCCAAACCCTGTGCAACACCCCTGAGTACAGACAAGCTTGATGATCTCCAACTTCTCCACTTCTTGCCAATCTTACAATCTTTGGTCGGTGGTACATTATCAGTACTCAACCGCTCCCGATTTGAGCTTTGCTTTTAATCTGGTTTGTCAGTACATGCATCGTCCTCGAGTCTCTCATCTTCAAGCTGTCAAAAGAATCCTTCGGTACTTAAAAGGTACTATTGATTTGGGGTTATGGTTTTCTAAAACTTCAGCTCCCTTGGATATTCAAGCATTCTCTGATGCTGATTGGGCAGGTTGCCCTTTAGACAGGCGATCCACTGGTGGCTTCTGTATTTTTCTTGGCAGTTCTATTATCAGCTGGAGTGCTAAAAAGCAACCAACAGTGGCAAGATCATCCACTGAAGCTGAATACAGGTCTCTTGCTCATACTGCCGCAGAACTGTCATGGATTTCTAAAATTTTAACTGATATAGGCTACTCTCTTCCTTGTGTTCCTCAACTGTGGTGTGATAATATCTCTGCCATTTCTCTGGCAAAGAATCCTATTTTTCATGCTCGCACAAAGCATGTCGAAATAGCATACGGGAGAGAGTATTAGCCAACCAAGTTGCTATCCGTTTTGTGTGTTCACAAGATCAGATTGCTGATATTTGTACCAAGCCTCTGTCCAAATCCAGATTTACACTTCTCAGATACAAACTCTCTCTTCGGCTACCTCAGTTTCGTTTGAGGGGGGATATTAAGGACAAAAGTGTAAATATCTCTTCAAGAGATAAATCTTAGAGACTAAGTAATTGTTACAGTTTGTTAGGACAGTTAGTTTTTTTGTTAGGCTTGTCTTACATGTATATATATACTCAAGATGTAATATTATCAGTTAAGTAAATGAAAATATATTTTCTAATAATATATACAGCTGAATCAGGGTCTATTTGTTAATGTTTTCTCAGTGTTTTGCCTTTTAAATTTTTAATATAGGTCAGATATGCGTTCGGTGCATTAAGTTTGTAAAACATGGGAAACTTATTCTGTAAAATGATCTCAACTTTTGTTCTTCAAGTTAGTAAACAACCTTTCAACTGGAATAAACGTTTCAGTCTTCTTCAGAGGCTCTGTTCTTGGTCCTCACTTTTCATGTTTATATGACCTTTTTAGAAAGTGTGATATCAACTACCAAAAGCTGATATAAGCTTGCAAATAAATGCTTCTTCCACTAAGTTGTTTAGGCATCAGTGTTTTGCTACACGACGGAGAGGGTAGTACTACAAATTTAGTTATGAAAATAAACTCTTGAAATAAAAAACCCTTGTTCTTGTAAATAGTGTAGAGAAGATGTTACCTTAAATAATGATCTAATTAGCCTTTGTTTGCCATTTCAGTTACAAAATATGTGTGTGTGTATTATGGATCATTATGTGGGGCACAACATATATATGCATTGAATTTTTTTTCTCTAATTGTGCAAATGTCGCAGCTTATTAGAAGCCGTAAAGCAATGACGACTACACCCCGTTCGATTCCCCAGCCTCCTACTTCAGCTGCAACTGCTCCAGCAGACATGGACCTCAAGCCGATTAATCAGGTTCATCCGATTGGTCCTCGAGTCTCCTAGGCGCCCGCATCATTAGCCTCTCCAGTGGCACTACCTATTAGCGCCAGGCGTGGTCACCGCCACCCTCGTACGCCTGACATGACATTGGCATCCACTACTGATGCATTGTCGCTAGTTGAAGACTGCGAAGGTCACCCGGGTGACCAATGAACGTATCACGATTAGATACAACGATAGGCATCGGGTTGTACCAACGGCGGAGCAGCATAGCGCATTGGCCCACGACATTAGTCACATCATTCGGACCTATTGCCCTATGCGATGGAAGTCTTGGAAGGCGATGCCAGACGAGGTGAAGACGAAGGTGCGCGATTGTTTGTTGGTAAGTATCTTGACTTTTTATTGCTTTTCCTTTAAAGTTTATATATTTATATTGATTAATGTATGTAATTAATATGTTACATTGAAAACGAACTACAATTTCAATGACATCAACAACAATATGTTGGCGTAAGTCAACAGGCTCTTCGTTGAACGGTACAAGCAGTGGAAAAGCGACCTACACCAATATTTTCAGACATTTGATGATCCGCAGGTCACTCTTGAGGAGGGTTGCCCGAAGGAGTTTAAGGACCGGGAGAAAATTGGGTATGGCTCTGTAGTGATTTTCAGGAGCCTAACTATGTGGTACTTTTTTTTTATTAAATCTAGAAGTATTATACGTTTCTTACTAATGTTTATTTATTTTTTTGTATTTCATTTACATTACAACTGATACGTTCATTTTTTGTGTAACAAAAGAAGGCGAAAGCCAACAAGATCAATCGGGAGAAGAAGACTCTTCTCCACCATTCGGGAGAAGAAGACTCTTCTCCACCATTCGGGTTCGAGGCCCTTCTCATATAGGATGGAAACGTGGCGGCAAGTAATACTAAAGCTTTTCATATTCAATTTTTAATATGTCAATAATATTAATTTTTTTTCGTACTAACATTTTTCTTATCTTGTTCTATTCAGAGGGGTTCAAAATTCCCGAATGCCGATGTCTTTGCAGACGTTTATGTTTGACACGGGGATGAGTTGGCCGAGTCCCTTCATGTAAGTATTCTTCAATTGTAATTACTATCTTACGCATTCAAGTATCATGGTTATTATTTCAATGTTATTATTAATATTTCATGTTATATTACATAGGCGACGATGATGAAGAAGAGGCAGTTAGTTCTTCAGAATGAGGTAGAGGACGTATGGTAGGGGGATAGGGAATGCTTGGCAAGAGGAACCTAAAGCCTCTTCATGCTCTTAGTCAAAGGGCGAGGTGACAACTTTGACAGCAGAGGTGGTCAGCCTTAGGACTGAGCTCGCCTTGTATAAGAGCCAAATGTCACTGATTGTAAAGGCCCTCAGTGAGTCCGACATTCATCTCTCGGATATTTGTACCCCGTCGACGTCCGAGCCCTTCCAACCCAAGCATGCCTAGAACTCCGCCCCTTCAACCTTTGAGCTCATCCTCAACCCTGAGACCTTCTTGCCCCAAGCTTTCCAGCCGCCTATGAATGACGACCCCATAGATTATTCCACCTTCTTTTCTTAGTTTTTTACTCCCATACTTTTAAACTTTTTCCTTGTACATACATTTTATTTTTATTTTAAATAAATTATTTTTCTCTTCATTACATTTTTTAAATTGCAATTTAATTTTAGGGATACTTTGGATGCAGTCCCTAGTCCCTAACACTTTTTTACTAAAACCTTAATGGTATTCAAAGTTTGATCAAAATTCCTTGACTTTGTACACTTCATTATATTACTATTACTATTTATAGTTTTATAGTTTTGACATTAATTGTTTGATATATTATGAGATTTATAATCCTATAAATTTAAAATCCCTCATTATAATACTATTAGAAACAGCTACAATAAAAAAATTCAAACATTTTAATTGAATAAATGGATAAAAACTATGTAACAATAAGAAATAATAAATGGCAAAAGAATGTATCCATAGTGTTAAACAAAATTGGTACATTTTACAAAAAAAATTGGTACATTTCACATATAACAAAGTGGTACATTAATAAAGAAGAATGGGTACATTATAAATAAATTAGGGTAAAAATAAAAGATTAAAAAATTATGAGTACAAATGAAATTTTAAAAAATATGGGCACAAAAAGAAATTAGTACATGGGTACAAATTAAAACTAAAATGAAAATATTACAAATTTGAAAAAAAAAGGTTGCAAATTAAAAGTGGGTACAAACAAAAAATATAAATATATGATACAAAGTTTAGCCGTAAAACATAAATATACCATATGTAATCTATCATTGATTAATTATATAATGTTACGTGACGATAAACAAATAGGCACAAATACAAATAAAACTTTAAAAAATATGGGCACAAAAAGAAATTAATATATGGGTACAAATTAAAACTGAAAAGAAAATTGGTACACATTAAAAAAAGATTTGCAAATTAAAAATGGGTACAAACTAAAAATAAAAATATATGATAAAAAATGTAGCCATAAATATAAATATACTAATTGTAACATTTTTAACACTAAAGGAATATATTTAAAAACACAAAATATTTTATTATTAAAATAATTAATGATGGGCTTTTTTTATTAGCATCCCCACATAATGTTGAATACACCTCACATTAAAATTCAATATTAAATGACTTATATATCTAATATGCAATGACAATTTTAACCTCATGTAAAGTTAAATAAAAAATCTAAATACACCCCAAATCACAACTTTAACATGTATATCTTACAATTCTTTTTCTTCAACTTTCAAAACCAATCTTATCCTCTATTGTAAAACAAACCTAAATCAATGGAACTACAAACACGTTAATCACAACTTTAAAGCCCAGGGATATTCATCAATGGCCTCCTAATTTTCATTCACCGTACCACTACAACTTCATCTCCATATGAAATCAACAAATCTGCCTTTGTTATGATGATTTTGACAGAGGGGACTCAGAACTTGAGGATTCTCGTTATGACGCTTCAAATTACACCCAAATAGGAAGGGAAGGAGAGGAGCATCCAAGTCAAGCTACTCGCTTCTTTGGTTGTGATACCAAAATCTCTCGCAGATGCACATATGATTGGTTGTTTTGTACATACAATAAAATTCTTCAATCCAATGATTCATGGAGGCGTTCTATCAACCCCACATTCTTCTTCAACCCGATTTCATTGAGTAAAATTGTTTTTAAAAAAAAACATGAAATATGTATTTGCACTTAAATGTGAAGTGGAGTGTAGGTAAAAAATTGTGGGGTGTATGTTGAGAATGTGGGGTGTGAGGGTATTAAGGAAAAGTATGTGGGGTGTATTGTAAGATCCCACATCGCCCAGGGGTGAGGATCCTGTAAGTCTTATATGTATATTCTTATCTCTACTTAGCACGAGGCTTTTTGGGAGCTCACTGGCTTCAGGTTCCATCGAAACTCCGAAGTTAAGAGAGTTCGCGGGAGAGCAATCCCGGGATGGGTGACCCACTGGGAAGTTCTCGTGTGAGTTCCCAAAAACAAAAATTGTGAGGGCGTGGTCAGGGCCCAAAGCTGACAATATTGTGCTAGGGCGAAGTCGAGCCTGGGATGTGGTAAGGGCCTGGGCCGGCATGTGACAATTTGGTATCAAAGCCAATCCCTAGCTGGAAGTATGTCGACGAAGACGTCAGGCCCCTAAGGGGGGTGGATTGTAAGATCCCACATCGCCAGGGGTGAGGATTTTGTAAGCCTTATATGTATATTCTCATCTCTACCGAGCACAAGGTCTTTTGGGAAATCGAATTATTTGCATACATGTCATGTGTGGAGAAAAAGCCTCTAGCTATCCCATCCATCATCTTATTTCTCACATTCGTTTTACAATCTATCTAGATTTTCATACTTGTTTGTTTGTTACAACTTCATCTAAATCAAAACGCCCCTTTTAGTTCTTGTTTCAAAGTGTTTCAAATCTATTTTAGTTTTTGTTTTTAAGTGTTTTGATTCAAGTAAAAGTCCATTTTCGTCCAAAGTCATTCTTAGTGTCTAGTTTAAGTTTATTTGGTTGTTTTGAGCTATTTTGAGTATTTTAAGTTTGCTTTGAGTCTTGTGAATCTTGTTTAAGTGTTTTTAAGTCTAGTTTTATGTTTTTGAGTCAGTTTAGAGGTTATTAGCAAGCCCTCTTAATCCCCGGTCCAGAACGATCCCTACTTATACTTGTACTACAATTGTCAAAAGAGGGTTAAATTTGTGTGTTAAGATAATTTTCGCATCAAAATTTTGGCGCCGTTGCCGGGGATTAACAACTTTGCTAATCCCTTGTTATTTCTTTTTGTTTATTTTCATGTGTTTTTGTTCCTAGTTGCTGATTTTACTTGTTTTCTTTAGGTGGTTATGACTCGAAGTTATCAACCTGTTCATAAGCACATCTTTGACTTTGATGACGATTTTGAACGAACTTTGAGACGAGCGAGGAATCAACAAGAACCGCAACCATCTCAACCTGCGCCAGATCTTGAAGAAGACAAAGTAGAAGAGCAAGAGGAAGCCACGACAAGGACTTTTGAAGAAGTCCAAGAGATGGCAGTAAACAATCGAACAATCAAGGAGCTTTCGCTTTGGGATTGGACAATGCTCTGCCTTTATGCATTTAATATCCAAGGGCGGCCCAAAACAAGACCAACGAGTTCGAATTAAAGTCCAGTTTATTGCACCATATTCCTAAGTTCCATGGGTTGTCCATGGAGGATCCTAATAAACATTTGAAGGAGTTTGAGGTTGTTTGTTCGAGCATGACCCCTATGAATGTTGATGGGAGCATTCTGAAAATGAAGGCTTTTCCCTTTTCTCTCTTGGAAAAGGCTAAAGATTGGTTGTATGAGCTAGCCCCCGGAACTGTCACATCATGGGAGAGTATGAAACGAGCATTTTTGGAGAAGTTTTTCCCAACTTCTCGAGTCATTCTACTAAGCAAAAAGATTAGTGGCATTTAGAAAAACCAAGGTGAATCATTTCCCACTTACTATGAGCGTTTTAAAACCCTTGTTGCTTCATGTCCATAGCACCAGATGAAGGAGTAGCTTCTTCTTCAATATTTCTACGAAGGGCTTCTACCAATTGAATGTCAAATGCTAGACGCCTCAGCGGGATGAGCTTTGGTGGACAAAACACCTATGGCTGCCAAGACCTTAATTGCTAACCGAGCATTGAATGCTCAACAATATGAAGGCGTTAGTCCAAGAGACAACCCACAGCAGCAACAAGTTAATGAGGTAAGTGTTATTTCCAAACTTCAAAATCAAATGGCTAATCTTACTATTCTTCTTTCACAGGTGGTTAAAAAACCAAAAGAACAAAGTGTAGCTGCTTATGGCGTGTGTTCAATGAATGGACATCTCACGGATAAGTGCCCTCAATTGATCGAGAACAGAGAGTGGGAATCTGCCAACGTCATGGGTTTTAGGAATCAAAACCAACCAAGGAATGATCCGTTCTCGAATACATACAATCCAGGTTGGAAAGATCATCCAAATTTCAAATGGAGGGAGCCCCAACAAACCCAACAACAAAGTGCATTCAGACAGCAACCTTCGGGATTCTACCAAAGGCCGTATGCACCCACACAACCCCAAACACAACCTGCCCAAAATAACTCAGGTTCGTCTTTTGATAATGCCCAAGTTATTCAGTTACTAACTACGTTGGCAAAGGGTCAGGAAAATCAAGCCAAAGATATGCACAATTACGCCAAGGAAGTGCAAAATCAAGCTCGAGAGGTGACTGAATTGAAGAGACAAATAGGACAAATGGCTGAGTTCATGGGGCAATTTAGTAAAAACAAGGTAAGTTACCTAGTTCGACGGATGTGAATCCAAAGATAGGCTTAGAATCTGCCAAAGCCATCACCTTACGAAGTAGAAAAGAAGTTGGATCTGATCCCAGCCCATCTAAATCCAATCAAAAGGAGGACGAAAAGATGCAATCAGAGGAGAAGGAACAAGGCTTGCCCTCGGCAAGGATTGAGCAATCTTTGCCGTAGCCACCTACACACCCTGATTCGACCACCAAAGGTAAGTTGGGTTCAAATTCCATGACTTCTAATTCCATTCCACCCAATGCACCATTTCCTCGCAGGTTTATGCAATCAAGGAAGGATGAGAGTGACAAAGACATCCTTGACACATTCAGAAAGGTGGAAGTTAACATTCCACTTCTAGATGCAATCAAACAAGTCCCCAGGTATGCTAAGTTCCTGAAGGAGCTGTGCACTACAAGGAAGAGGGCTTCGAACAAAGAGGTGGTAAGGGTAAGTGAGAATGCCTCAGCTGTGTTGCAACGAAAATTACCTCCTAAGTGCAAAGATCCTGGCAGTTTTACAATTTCTTGTGTTATAGGAAATACTCGCTTTGAATCTGCCATGTTAGATCTAGGTGCATCAATAAATATCATGCCTTATTCAATATATGCATCTATGAACTTAGGAGAATTAAAAAATGATGGAGTGATCATTCAACTGGCCGATAGATCTAATGCGTATCCAAAAGGTGTTTTGGGGGATGTTTTAGTGCAGGTGAA